AATTGAGTATGGCTAAACTTTAGCACCTCTCTTCTCCTCTCTTTCATACTTGTTGCAATCTCTCTTCTTGTGGTGGATAGGGAGAATTGTAATCCTAGCTAGCTACCCAAAAGAAGGGTGAATTGGTCTTATCAATTTACTTCAAAACTTGTTTCTTTTTCTTTTAAAACTTGAATAAAATTTCCAATATATAAATTGTTATGCAAAATAAACAAAGAATGATTGCAATCTTGCAAATAAAGTATGGAAAAATAAAAAGAAAGGGAAGAGAACATCAAGCCATGATTTATAGTGATTCCTCCCACCCGTAGTACGTCACTCCCTAAGCTTTCTTGTTTGAGAGTTCAATCAACTATGATTCTCTTACTTACAGGTGCAAGATCAAACTAGAACAAACTCTTGTTTGCAAGTGCAAGATTAAACCCTCACAAGTGAATCTCAACACAACTCACTCAACCTCTTCAAGGATTATCCCAATCCAAGAAGAATAGAATACTCTTGTAAGCAAAGACAATTAACCCAAAAAGCTCACAAGAAGAAGGAGAAGAACAATTTCAATTTCAAACTCTGTTTTTCTATCTTTCTCACCTAAAGTCCGTTGGGAGAACTCATATCTGATTTTTGATCCTCTTTTTAATGGTTGGTTGGGGGATCTTGCAATTAAACCCTATTTTGCCCTTCAAAGCCACCTCACAATTGCCCCAATTAGATTCCACCCTTTCCCCAATTAGATTCCACCCTTTTTTTACTTCCTATAACAGACTTTGACTCATCTTGGAAAGTGGGTTAGTTATTTGGATTCCTCTAAGACCCCTTAAGGCAAAACAGATAATTGAATTGTCAAATGAACCGTCAAAAGTTTGTCTTCCAGAATTTTTACTTCAAAGTCAAAAAGATTAGTTTGAATTGTTTTTAAAAAAAGAATTGTGGGATTGGTTCGAATCAATTGGAATTTATTTGAACCTAGAATTATGGATAAGGAAGACATGATTTAATTCTAATCATGGGGAAAAATTGAAATATTTGAATTAACTTTTTTGTACACTTAGCACAAAATAAATTAAACTCTTTAAATTATGGTTTTAAATCATCATCAAAATACAAAGAAAACATAACAAGAATAAACAAGATATAGAAGTTTCTCTTTATTTGTTAAGGTTTCTCTCTCGAAGAGAGATTGTTTCTCTCTTTTAGGACTTCTAT